TACAGAGTATCCATAAAAGGATAAAAACAGGATTGTATTATCCTGCCAAGACAGGGTAAGATAGTTCTAAAAAGTTCCTTGCCTTTGAAAATGGCATGTCAGTTACGTTAGGCCTTAGCCAAAGTTGGTTGCCTCAACATGCAAATGAGATTTTAGATGATTGCCCAGGCAGCGAGATGTCTCTGTCATTTCTAGAGTTTTGGAAGTTGCTTATTTCTTGTTTACTTAGGTAATATTATATCCTTCTAGAGTCTTTGATAAAATTAAAAAAATAAATGATAGTTATAATTTTCCTTAGTTATGATAAAAGATAAAATAGATATAGATATTATAACTATAAGTATTGCTTGATAACTGTTTTGTTATATATAATTTTACTATGTTAAAATTAAAGCCTTCTTTTTTGTTTAAACAGAAAAAGGAAAAATGATATAGGAGGGTAATCTGTCTATATGTTACTTTCATTGGTTAATAAAAAAACTGCCTTGGCTTTTGATAGGACAACAGCTTAGATAGGCGGAATAGACAGAACAAAATGCTGAAAAAAAAAAAAGACAATGAGGCAGACACCAAGACACCATGGATCCAGCTGCCACATCAGACATGCTGAATCTTTCCCGATAAGCCATGGCCTCATAGTGCTACACAGATTACTAAATATGGGTTAAAGCAAGCTATAAGAGTTAGCCAATAAGAGGTTAGGGATAATGGGCCAGGTAATGTTTAAAAGAATACAGTTTCCATGTAGTTATTTCAGGTAAAGCTAGCTGGGCTGGCGGTGGGAAGCGGGCCACCTTTCCTTCTACAATCTGATAGCCCTTGTTAAACCTGAAGGGGAATACTGACTGGGTTGGGCAAGAACTTAGAGATACAATCACTTTTACTTTCCCTAACTTATAATGAAATTCTTCCTTCCTTCCTTCCGTCCTTCCTTCCTTCCTTCCTTCCTTCCTTCCTTCCTTCCTTCCTTCCTTCCTTCCTTCCTTCCTTCCTTCCTCCTTTCCTTTTTTATATCCAGGCTGAAGCTTCCCCTCCCTTCTCTCTTCCAAGCCTCCCCACACCACTCCACCTCTGCTCCAGTCCCCTAATCCACTCCACTCCTCCTCCTGTTTCTGTTCAGGAAATAGCAGGTCTCCCTTGGATTTCAACAAAACAGGGCATATCAAGTTGTAGCTGACTAAACATCTCCCCATGTGTTAAGGCTGGACAAGGCAACACAGTATGAAGAGTATGGTATCAAAAGACAGCAAAAGAGTTAAAGACAGTCCCTGCTTCCACTGAGAGGAGTACTACAAGTTGAACAAGCTACACAACTGTAACATATATGCAAAATGCCTAGGTCAGTCCCATTCTTTCACTTGAAAGATCTGACTTTCAAACAACAGGGATTTGACTTTCAAACAGCAGGGATTTAGGAACATAACTGGAAAGTCTAAGTAATATGTGTGTATGAAGAAACCCAAATAATCTTTATCTCCTCCTCTGTGAAAGGGATGACTATTTTAAAGACAGATGAGAATGTAAATAACTCTATGGTATCATATGTAGCTTTCTTGGGCTCTTTCAGCTGAGTAAACAGATGGGGACTCCCCACTTCTCACCTGTGCACTTGGAGTTTTCCCCTTAAATTACTATGGTTTTGCTTCTCTTCCCCTTTCTCACTTGACCCACAGTTAAGCTTTGGAGTTTTTGAAGTCCTGAGGTTTGGGGTTGCTGGCTCAGCTTCATCTTCTTCCAATTTCCTAATAGGTGTGTCTATATGTATCACTCACTGCCTGTTACTTCAGAGTCTACAAGGGCAGAAGTCCAAAGTGTGCGAACTCAGTTAGGGAGATAAAATCAGATTCTCTTGGGAACATCTTGCTTTTTCAGGACCAGCAGCCAAACATCCAACAACTCTGAGAAAGAGTTGCTCAGGTACCAGAAGAAAAGGGGAGAAGACAGACACCTGTGAGTATTGGGGACCTGTTCTGGCAGAGAAATGCATTTGAAAGGGAAGGTTTCTTATTTCCTCTTTAATTTCCACGACTCACTGTTGAAATGGAAATGAATGAATGGCTTAGAGAAACTTAGCAAGCAATCCCAAAGTAACAAAACTGTAATTTCAGAATGTTCATAGTTGTCTGGGTGTTGTAGAGTGCTGCGGGGATAAAATGAAGTTTATCGACTGACAATTAGTAAACATTCTGGTCATTCTTTATTTAACAGGATATAATTTGTTCTCTTTTCCAATATAAAATTCAGGATTTGCTAAACAAAAGCAGAATAAAGGAAGATTTGGGTGTCATTTTGAAAATTTAAGCAAAAGTGGAAAAGAGAAAAATAGTGTTTGTTCACAGCTATTTCTGAGGAGAATTATATTCTTTTAGGCACCTGGGGAGTAGCATGACTAACTTAACCTGGAATCAAAAAGTGACGAGAAAACTGCAATATAAATAAGAGCAAGTCCTTATTTTAGAATGAAAACAGCTTTGATTTTTAGACAAAGGGCTGAGCCCAATAGTGTTGAAGAGAGGACTGTAAAATGGACCGAAAGACTCATTTACTTTTTCAAATTTATTTTAATTTTATGTGTTCACGTGTTTTGGCTGAGTGCGTGAAAGTGTCCCACATGTGTACAATTCTCAAGGATGACAGAGCAGAGAAGCAAATCCCTGGAATTAGAGTCGTGGATAATTGTGAACCGGATTCAGTTTTCAGCACCTACATGGCAGTTCCCAACCAACTCTAACTCTACTTCCAGGGGGATCTTACATCTTATCCTGCCCTCTGCAGGCACCGGACACCCATTTGGTGCACTGACATAGATGTAGGCAAAACATCATACATATAAAATAAAATAAGTTAATATGCATAACAAACTCAATATTCCCATTTGGTTGAATGATTTATAATACTCTATGTGGGTATTGACAACAAAACCCATGTTCTCCACAAGAGCAGCCAGTGCTTCTAACCATTGAGCCATCTCTCCAGCCCCTCAGTTACTCTTTCAAGAAATATTGGCTTCATTAATTTGTTTAGTGCCAATCAGTGTCATCAGATTTCCTTCTCTCTTCAAGTTTATAGTCTTTTTGAGAAAGTTGAACAAGGGAATAGCCCTCATTGTGAGGCTTTTGGTCCCAAAAGGTGTGGCCTACATGACAGTGTCAGGTTGACAAAAGTGTCATCCTAGGTAAACTTAGTTAACAAGGCAAATACCAGAGATGAAAGGATTTGACCTAAAGGTCCATAAAGGGCTTAAACAGTAGGAGTGCCCTTCCCTGGCCCCTACTCCGGGCAGTCTTACACTTTGAGCAATGTGGCATCTCGGTTTTTCTCAGTGGAAATAAAGCTTCCATGCCAGAGGTCACACAGAGGGTGCATTCAGCCAAGAACCAGGGTGGGATCCTCCTCCTGATGCATCACTGATGTCCCCAAGAGAAGAAAGGGACTTCAGACTGGATCCCAGCTGTAACCAAATGCAACACAGACTTTGTGAGAGCTGGTATTGATTTAACTAGAGCTTAGGTATAGTTTGCAACAAGTAATTTTCAAACTAGTATTTGATGTTTGCAGGGAAGTAGTTTATTCTACCTACCTCTCCCCTTCTCTCCACCTCCATGTATATGCATATGTGTGTGTGTGTGTGTGTGTGTGTGTGTGTGTGAGAGAGAGAGAGAGAGAGAGAGAGAGAGAGAGAGAGAGAGAGAGA